GGCGACTCGCTCGGCAACTGCGCGCAGGTCTTCGGGGAGCTCGGGGCGGACTGGCTCCTGCCTGTGCGGCCGCGCAGGCCGCCCCCGCGCCCCTGTTCCCCTCAGACGCGGCGCGTACTGGGAAGCCCATGCCGAGGGTTAGGGGCACTGTCGCTGCATCTCCTCCTCCTCCTCCTCCTACTCCTCCTCCTCCTCCTCCTCCTCCGCCTCCTCTCCTCCTCCTCCGCCCTCCTCCTCCTCCTCCTCCTCCTCCTCCTCCTCCCTCCTCCTCCTCCTCCTATCCTCCTCCTCCTCCTCCTCCTACCTCCGCCCTCCTCTTATCATCAAGGGGGGGATGCGGCGGCCCCAGTCGCCCACTCCTCGCCGAGAAGGGGCCCGACAGCCCACCCCGCCCGTCGCGGAGCCGTCGGCGGTGCCTCGCCGAGTTTTCACGCTTCGCATGCGCCCAGCAGCCCGTGCAGGAGCCCTGCCTGAGGGAGCCAACGGAGAAAGATACGAAGAGACGCGTGCACAGTGGAGGCCCATGCCAAGAGACGCCCTCCTCCCTCCTCCTCCTCCTCCTCCTCCTCCTCCTCCTTCCCTCCCCTCCTCCTCCTCCTCCTCCTCCTCCTCCTCCCTCCTCCTCCCTCCTCCTCCCCCTCTCCTCCTCCCCTCCTGCCCCTCCTCCTCCTCCTCCTCCTCCTCCTCCTCCTCCTCCTCCTCCTCCCTCCTCCTCCTCCTCCTCCTCCTCTCCTCCTCCTCCGCCCCTCCTCCTCGTCATACTCCTCCTCCTCCTCCTCCTCTCTTCCTCCTCCTCATCCTCCTCCTTCTCTCCCCCTCCTCCTCCTCCTCCTTCCTCCTCCTCCTCCTCCTCCTCCTCCTCCTCCTCCTCCTCCTCCTCCTCCCTCCCCCCCTCCTTCCTCCTCCTTTCCCCCCTCTCCTCCTCCCCCTCCTCCTCCTCCTCCTCTCCTCCTCCTCCTCCTCCTCCTCCTCTCCTCCATCTCCCCCTCCTCATCCCCGTGTGTCCTCGAATCTTACAGTGGAGGTCCATGCCAAGAGACGCCCTGCTTGCCTCCAGGGTGCACTGGGCTTCTTGGGCTTCGATGGCTTTGCTGTGGGAGGCGTGGCGCTGCCCCCCCAAACAAAAAACATGGACGTCCTGGGGTCTCGGGGTTGGATCTCTTGTGGGATGTTTTCTGTGGTCGAGCTCCTGCTGTACACGCGGGTCTCTCGGAGAACGGGGCACGCAAGAGCTGCAGCCCCAGACATGCGACGTCCCGACTTTGTCAGGGCGGGGCCCCTGGAAGCCCCGACCCTCTCCCCGGGCCCGGCTTCTCATCCTGAACCGTTTCTGAACGGCCCTGAGGCCCGGCGACGAGGAGGAGGAGGAGGAGGAGGAGGAGGAGGAGGAGGAGGAGGAGGAGGAGGAAGGAGAGGCTTGATTCGAACGGCCTTTAGCCAGCGACCGACCGAAGGAGGAGGAGGAGGGGGAGAGGAGGATGGGGAGGAGGAGGAGGCGGAGGAGGAGGAGGAGGCGGAGGAGGATGGGAGGAGGAGAGGAGGAGGAGGAGGAGGGGAGGAAGGAGGAGGAGGAGGAGGAGGAGAAGGAGTAGGAGGAGAAGGAGGCGGACAGGAGGAGGAGGAGGGAAAGAGGACGGAGGAAGGAGGAGGAGCCTCGGAGCAGGAGGAGGAGGAGGAGGAGGGAGGAAGAGGAGGACGGAGGGAGGAGGAGGGGGAGGAGGAGTGAGGGGAGGAGGATGAGGAGGAGGAGGAGGAGGAGGTAGGAGGAGGAGGAGGAGGAAGAGGAGGAGGAGGGGAGGAGGAGGAAGAAGGAGGAGGAGGAGGAGGAGGGAGAGGGAGGGAGAGGAGGGGAGGAGGAGGAGGAGAGGAGGAGGAGGAGGAGGAGGAGGAGGAGGAGGAGCAGGAGGTGGAGGGGGGAGGAGGAGAGGAGGAGGAGGAGGGGGAGGAGAAGAGGGGGAGAGAAGGAGGAGGAGGAAAGGGGGGAAAGAGGAGGAGGGGAGGAGGAGAAGGTCAGGATTAGAGGATGAAGAGGCGGAAGGAGGAGGAGGAGGAGGAGGAGGCAGAGGAGAGGAGGAGGAGGAGGGGAGGGGGAGGAAAGGAGGAGGAGGAGGAGAGCGAGGGCGAGGGAGGAGAAGGGGTGTGCAAGGATTAGGAGGAGGAAGAGGAGTAGTAGGAGGAGGAGGAGGAGGAGGAGGGGAGGAGGAGGAGGAGAGCGAGGAGGAGGAGGAGGAGGAGGATGGCGGGTTCTGCGGGACTTCTCCCTCCTCCTTCTCCTCTTTTTCCATTCCCATACTTTCTTTCCCCCTACTCCTCCCTGACATCTGCATCTCACTTTTGCTCCTCCTCCTCCTGCTGCTCTTATTCCTCCTCCTCCTCCTCCTCCTCCCTCGCCTCCTCCTCCCTCCTCCGCCTCCCCTCCTGCTTGTCCGCTCCTCCCCCCTTCCCAGTTTTCTCCCTCCTTCTCCATCCTGCCGCCCCCCCTGTTATCCCTCCCCTTCTCATGCCTATCCCCCCCTCCTCCCCCCCCCCCCTACCTCTCCCCTCCTCCCCCCCTCTCCCTCTCCTCCCTCTCGTCCTCCCCCGTTCCCTTCCCTCCACTGCATCCACCCCCGCTTCCTGCTCACGGCGACGGCGCGAGACGCCGACGGCGACGGGGGCGGCGGAAACACCGCATCCACCCCCGCTTCCTGCTCACAGCGACGGCGCGAGACGCCAGCGTCGACGGGGGCGGCGGAAACGACGACGACGATGACAACGACAAGAACACGACAAGACGACGACGCCGCCGCCGCCGACGGCGAGACCATGACGGCGGCGGCGACGAGGACGAGGACGAGGGCGAGGGCGACGACGCTGCCGACGACGCCGACGACGCCGCTCCGCGGGCGACGCTGTCGGCGGCGGCGGCGCCAGCGGCCGCCTGCCCTCGCCCGAGAGGCCGCTCTCCGACGGCGTCTCGTTCGCGCGCTTCGGGGAGGTGTTCCAGCGACCCGACGGGGCCGCGCCGCCCAGCGGCCCGCCGCAGGGCCCGCCGCTGGACCGCCGCCGCCACCGGCGCCCTTCGGCGGCTCCTCGCCCTTCGGCGGCTCCTCGCTTCGCGCCTGCGTCTCTGCTCGCCTCTCGCCGCCTCCTCCTCCTCCGCCTCCTCCTCCTGCTCCTCCTCCTGCTCCTCCTCCTGCTCCTCCTCCTGCTCCTCCTCCTCCTCCTCCTCTGCCTCCTCGTCCTCCTCCTTGCCCCTCCCCTGCCTCCCCTAGTCCCCCACACACGCACACACACACACACACACACACACACACACACGCACGAATGACATAGGTTCTGCGGCCTCGCCAGGACTGGGCGGAGGCCCCATCGCCGCCCGAGCCCCGAGCGCCGCGCTGCCGCCCCGCCCTGGTGCGCATTGCTCCTCTCTGCGACGCGGCTGCCCAGCCTCGAGTCCCCGAGTCCCCGTCCTTCCCCTCGCCCCCGCCGTGCCTTCGGGGCGGAGGCGGAGGAGCAGGAGGAGGAGGAGGAGGAGGAGGAGGAGGAGGAGGAGGAAGGAGGAGGAGGAGGGAGGAGGAGGAGGAGGAGGAGGAGGAGGAGAGGGATGGGGAGGAGGAGGAGGAGGAGGAGAGGAGGAGGAGGAGGAGGAGGAGGAGGAGGGAGGAGGAGGAGGGAGGAGGAGGAGGAGGAGGAGGAGGCGGAGGAGGAGGGGGAGGCGGAGGAGAGGAGGAGGGGGAGGAGGAGGAGGATGGGGAGGAGGAGGACGAGGAGGAGGAGGAGGAGGAGGAAGGAGGAGGGAGGAGGAGGAGGAGGGAGGAGGAGGGGGAGGGGAGGAGGAGGAGGAGGAGGAGTGTGTGGAGGAGGAGGAGGGGGGGAGGGGGGGGGAGGGAGGAGGAGGAGGAGAGGAGAAGGAGGAGGATGAGGAGGAGGAGGAGGGAGGAGGGAGGAGGAGGAGGAGGAGGAGGAGGAGGCGGAGGAGGAGGAGGAGGAGGCAGGAGGGGGAGGAGGAGGAGGAGGAGGAGGAGGAGGAGGAGGATGAGGAGGAGGAGAGGAGGAGGGGAGGCAGGAGGAGGTTTTCTTTTGGGAGGAGGTTCTTTCTTTTTATGCAGCCGCTGGTGGGGATGTAGAAGGAGGAGGAGGAGGAGAGGGAGGAGGAGGAGGAGCCTGCCACCTCCGTGCTCTTCGGGGGTTGGGGGGCGCCAGGAAGCTGGGACCGCCAGCGGGGCCGAGGCGCTCCGCCCAAGAGCCGCATCACTTCGCTTCCCTCCCCCCTCCATCCTAAGATGTTTTCATTCGTACTCGTCTCCTCCTCTCTCTCCTCCTCCTCCTCCTCCTCCTCCTCCTCCTCCTCCTTCCTCCTCCTCCTCCCCCTCCTCCTCCTCCTCCATCCTCCTCCCCTCCTCCTCCTCCTCCCCTCCTCCTCCTCCTCTCCTTTTTCACTCCTCTTCCTTTTCCTCCTCCTCCTCCTCCTCCTCCTTCTCCAGGAAGATAGCCAGTTCTCTCCGCGTGCCGTTTTCCCCCACCGGATTGCACAAGAGTGGTCATCCCAGTTGCGTTTTGAACATTATTCCGAGTGTTCTCAGGGTTTCACAACGGTGCTCCCGCTGCAGCGAGGGCCTCACTTTCGGATCGGCGCTTTTCTCCCGTCGTTCAGAATTGCGCTCTCGCCACAGCGTGATCCACTTTTCTGGATCCGAGTCCTTTCTCATCGTTGCCGCCCCCTTCTGTCCCCTCCTTCGCCTTCCCCTGGTCCTCCTCCTCCTGCTCCTCACGCCCCTTCCACTTCAGTTCTCGCTGTTGCTCCTGTTCGTCCTCGTCGTCCTCCTCCTTCCTCATCCTCCCTCTCTTCCTCCTGCTCAGCTCCGTCGCCTTCCCCTGGTCTTCCTGCTCCTCCAACTCCTATCTCTCCAGTTCCTGCTGCTGCTGCTGCTGATGTTCGTCCTCGTCCTCCTCCTCATCCTCTTCCTTTTCCTCCTCTTCATCCCCCTGCTGACCCGCCACCTCCTTCTCCTGCTCCTCCTCCTCCTCTTCCTCCTCCTCCTCCTCTTCCTCCTCCTCCTCCTCCTTCCTCCTCCGCCTCCGACTTCAGACTCTCCCCTTCCTCCTTCCAGGCGGGGGAGGGAGGGGAGGGTCCCAGACTTCCGATGTCTTGATTTGTCTTGGTGTGGGGCCCCCGGAAACCCCGACGCGTTCCCTGGGGCTGGCTTGTCATCCAAAAGTGACTGTGTGACGATCCCGGGGCCCGGCGAGGGCCCAGTCCGAAGACGGCAAAACATGTTCGTCGTTGGGGTGGGACTGGGTGGAAGTGATTGTGATGTACAATTTCGTTTTGTTTTTACCTAACAGCGAAAACTGAGGTTTCTAATGGGGTCAAAAGAGAGCATCTGATGACTCCCCAGGGGGGTCTGGGCGGGAGCCGGACAGGCGAGGGCCGGGCTCGTTTTAAGCGAACAGTCACACACTTCGTGCTCTTCGACCTCCCAGAACTCCATTCCCGGGCCACATTTTGAATGCCCGGAGTCAACTGTAGGCCACTTCGTGCTCTTCGACTTCCCAGAACTCCATTCCCGGGCCACATTTTGGATGCCCGGAGCCAGCTGTAGGCCACTTCGTGCTCTTGGACTTCCCAGAACACCATTCCCGGGCCACATTTTGAATGCCCGGAGCCAACTGTAGGCCACTTCGTGCTCTTGGACTTCCCAGAACTCCACTCCTGGGCCACATTTTGAATGCCCGGAGCCAACTGTACGCCACTTCGTGCTCTTCCACTTCCCAGACTTCCAAGACTCATCATCTTCATCATCATCATCGTCCCGGTAGCCTTCTTGGCTACAGCCCTGCTTCCGAAGATCTCCTTTCAAAGGAACTGCGCAGCGCCTACTGCGCACCTTAATGTCAGGACATGCTGATAGTTCTCGGTCTGGCGGCGGTGCTCCTGACCCTGCTGCATTGAACAGCCGTGCTCCTCAGCCTGCGGCAGGGAACAGCGCTGCTCCTCAGCGTGCTGCATTGAGCGGTCCTCTGCAAACGCTCGTCGAGCACGTGAAGCAGTTCGGCCGTATACCGAAGCGAAATAAAGGAACGTCCGAACAAGAACGTCCGAGCAGTGTTTCTACTGCTGCTACCACTGCTCCCATCACTCCTACTCGTTCACTCCACACACTACAACTACTACTTCACTGTTACCACTACTACCATCACTACTACTTCTACTGCTACTACTACCGTTACTATTACTGCTGCTGCTGTTGCTGCTGCTCGTGTAGCTGTTGCTACTGCAACTACTGGCAGTGCCACTGCGACTGCCGCTGATGTTGCCACTGCGACTGCCACTGCGAATCCGACTGCGACTGCGAGAACACCAGAATTCTACAACAGCACTCTTACATGAATACCACAGGCAATGTTTCCAGCTATGCTTCTACACATCGCTGTTAGGTTGCTTTGCCTGGATAATCCTACCCGATGCCCATGAGGCGTCTGGATGAACTGGTTTCGGCGCAGCCCGCGCCCGTACAATTCGACCGCCTTGGTTGTTTAGAGACGCGGGCCCCCGACCCATCGACCACTTCCCCAGGACTGGCTTTTTCCCGGATCGTTTTCGACGGCCTAGTCCGCGCCGTCGGATCTCGGGGTCCTCGCTGGATTCGTCGGCTCCTCCTCCTCCTGCTCCTCGTCCTCCTCCTCCATTCATTTTTCTTGTGGGTGAGTTCTCCTTATCACACCCCGAGGCCTGTTTTTAGGGCGGGCCGGGCGTTTCGCCTGAGACTTCCTCACCATTAACGAGACTCTGAAGCTTAAACGTTGGCAGCAGCTTCGCAGATGGAGGGCTGGTCTTTTTCAAAATGTGGGTCTCGCCTTAGCGCCGCGCGCACTCGTTTTAAGAAATGCAAGGGTTTCACGGATTGAGCGAGTGGTTGTCAAGATGTGGTTCCCGCCTTGGCGCCGCGCATATTCGCTGTGACACTGTGCAAAAACCCGCTCATATTCGCTCGACATCTGGCTCAAGAGCCCCGAACGTCGAGCCGCGCGGGGCGAGAGAGCCGCGCGGGGCGTGCCGACGCCCGCGCCCTCCCCCCCCCCGCGCCGCGCGCGGGACCGAGCGCCCGCAGTGTTCGCGAGCGCGGGTAAACCGAGACATTCCCGGTTCCAGCCCTCGCCAGCACAATCATGGCGGAGCGTTGCCGCGCCTGTGCGGCCCATGGCGTGGATGCACCCGCCCTGCCCGGCGTGGACATCTGCGCGGCGCATCAGCAGCCCGACCTGACGGCGACCCCACCCGGCAATGCGAGGATGGAGGAGGAGGAGGACGAGGAGGAGGAGGAGGAGGAGGAGGAGGAGGAGGAGGAGGAGGAGGAGGCCGACCGCTTCGGCGACCCCCCCGCCCACGGCGCCGCCGCCACGGCCACGGCCGCGGGCACCGTGGGCGCCAGCGGCGGCGTGCCTCGATACGCGCGTTTTGAAACGCAACACGTCCCGTGTTCGAGACGTCCGTGTCGATTCGTTGCGTGTTGGCGCCGCGCACTGGACCACGTATTGGCGTGCGTATTATATCGCGTCGGACCTGCGGTTTCGGCCGACGTGTTGAGCTCCGTATCGATACGGTACGTGTTGCGTGTTGCGTATCGGGGCAGCTAAGGTTCGAAGTGGTGCGGGCCGCTAATGCGCTCGGCCGCACAGCGGTTGGCCTTCACCCCGCGGTCCTCACCTTTCAGACGGGTCGAGCCAGCGGGCGGTGCTCCGCGGCCTCGCATGCAAGCCGCAGTCGCTTAACGTGTGACTGCGGTCGGGGTTGGCCCCAGTGGAGGGCCCCACACCCACTGCGGCCTTAATCGAGCAGCGCTTTGAGGTGGCTCGTCTTTTGCTTTCGGCCGCGGACGACCAGACTTTGCGTCCCGCGGACACCACAGCAGCGCAGCAGACGTTACACGCCCTCGACGAGGCTCGAGCGGCCTGCTAGCGAGAACTCCCAGGCTTCGTCTGGCAGCCAGCGCCGCGAGGTCGCGAGTAGGTCCCACGCTGGGTGGAGCTGGGACCTGGAGCCCGCCAGCTGCTCCTCCGAGAGCCGCTGGGACCTGGGGAGGCCATCCTCATGCAGCTTTCCGACCTCGAGGGGGGACCCACCGCGTTCCCAACCCCGCAGCCTGGCAGCGCGCCCTCGGGCTTTCTCCCGCCTCGGGAGGCCCGTGCCCTCATGCAGCAGTTGCTCGCGCAGGGCCCCGAGGCGCTCACAGGGGCTGGGATTCCGAGAGCCACGATCTGGTGCCCCCAGGAGTCTGCCTCGACGGGTCGGCTCCTCGCTGCCTACACTCAGCACGCCGTCGCGGCGCCGCACCCTCTGACCCTCCGCTTGATCGTCGTGCTGGACGCGCCGGCAGGGTGCTCAGACGCCATTGTGCTCGCAGACCTATAGCCGCACCCATTGTTCAGAAACCGGGTCCCAATAGTGCAGTCGGTCCAACTTACCGATCGGCCATTGGAGGTCATCTTGGGCGGCGCGACGACGCCGAGGGCGGGCCAGCCGAGGCGTCCTCATGATCTATGGTCTCGAAGGTGGAAGCTTCCAACAGCTACGCGGCTGGAGGCTGGAGGGTGCGTTGCTGTCAAAATTGGGTTCTCGCTTCGGCGCCGTGCGCATTCGTTTTACAAGTTCCCCCCTTGCGGCGCGGATGGATGGCTTGCCGATCTCAGAATGGGGCACTCGCCTGGGAGGGCAAAACTGAGCTGTCGCTGGATATCTCCCAGAACTTTACGACCCAGCCCCTTTGACTGGAAGGGAGATCCTTGAGAAACCAGGGTCTCGCCTGGATGGTATGCCCACGGGGCATTCGTCTGTCAACTGGGGGCTCCCCGCAGTGGACAAGTAAATGTCTAAGTAGCATCGTTGATGCATCTTGGAATCTCGGGTGGGCCTCCTCCTCCTCCTCCTCCTCCTCCTCCTCCTCCTCCTCCTCCTTCCCTCCCATCGCATCCTCCTCCTGCTCCTGCTCCTCCTCCTCCTCCTCTGCCTCCTCCATTTGCTCGTTGCCTCCGCCTCCTCCTCCTCCTCCTCCTCCTCCTCCTCCTCCTCCTCCCCCTCCTCCTCCCCCTCCTCTCTCCGCTCCTTGCCCCTCCCGCCTCCGGCCCTGCCGCCGGCCCTCCTCCGCACTGCCCCCCATATGGCACCCCTCCTGCCCGCCGCGCCCCCGCGCGCCGAGGACCCGGGGGAGGCGGACAGGCTCTGGCGCCGCCGCTACGGGGTCGGCCGCCGCCCTGCCTGGCGCCGCGGCCGCGCTGTCCAGGGCTGCCCTCCTGGTGCTGCCCTCCGCCGCCTCCTCCTCCTCCGCCTCCTGCTGGTTCCCTGCCGCCTCGCTTCCTGCCTGCCTGCCTGCCTGCCTGCCTGCCTGCCTGCCTGCCTGCCTGCCTGCCTGCCTGCCTGCCTGCCTCCTCCTCCTCCTCCTCCGCACCTCCCTGCTTTCCCTTCCTCCCTCCTCCCCCACCTCCTCCTCCCCTGCCTCCTCTCTCCTCTCTCCTCTCTCCTCTCCCCTCTCCCCTCTCTCCTCTCTCCTCCCGCCCGTCTCCTCCTTCTCCTCGTCGCCCCGGTCATCCTGGAGAGGCGCAGTAAAGAGACTGCGCATCAAATTTTGGTTCCCGAGACCTTTGGATTGCACCCAGTAGGGGGACTGCGCATCAAATCTTGGTTCCCGAGGCCTCTGGATCGCACTCTGAAGCATTTGGCTCCTGCAGGGGGGCTCCTCGGGTCACCAGCGCTCATAGCCGAGGAGCTGGCTGCCTAGCCCTGCGCCATGCGATGGTAAAAGGCACACCGCCATCGGACATACTCTCTCTCTCTCTTGATCTGTTCTGGCTGCAGCAGCGGCGACGGGTGATCAAGGTTCCAGGAGTGCAGGATCTCGGACTGTGGTATCTAGCTGTGGTGCGGGGTGGTTGCGTTCTACTTCTCACATATTCGTTATTTCCATATGCTGTGGTCGATGACGGCGAACCGGACAGCACGCCATTATCGTTGTCTTCTCTGGTCTCAGCTGCTCCTGCTGGTTTCGTCCGGCTACGCGGTTGTCCTGCCGGTTCCGACTGGGGTCTTGCAGGGACAGCGAACGAAGTGGCCATGGCCAGCACAGGTTTTTCCGACGTCCGTGGAGTTCTTCAGTGGAGCATTTCATCGACATCCGTCGCATTCTGATGTTGCTGCTGAGATTGCTGATCGGGCATGGCACCACACATCCATCAGTGCATCATCGGCGGCCATCGCTTCAATTTCCTATGGCATTGCTTGGTGTACTTCAACGTTTGGCTGTGCATCTGGTGGTCAGCCACGTCTCCGTGGAACACACCTGTTCGGGACATTGGCGCATCTGCTCATTGTGTCTGGGATATTGCGGCTTCGACAGGCGTTGCAACTGCAGCAGCTTCCTCAATGGGCTCGGCGTGTTCTCATTCTTCTCCCTCCAGAATGGCACGATGCCCTTGCAGGTCGAGGTTCGTACTTGGTCTTCAAGTTGGTCCGAGCGACTGTTACTGGCTCCGTTGCGGGCATGGCGGGCGTTGTGTACATCCTAGCCAACCATGTGGGTGTCTATTGTGGGAAAGCGAAGTTGTGTCGTGAACGGCTTCCTGGGCTTTGCGGCCGGCTATCCGAACACGTTCGATATCTGCTTTTTCTTTTCAAGCCTCCGGGAGATCGACCTCGCTATAAGCTGTTGCGGCGGAGCCTTGATTCCGTATTCTTCTTGCCGTGTGTTTGGACGAAGTCGAGTGTTGGAGCGTTTTCTTTGGAGTCTTATGCGACCCGCCAGGTACAGCCTCTGGCAAACGCTGCGGACGAGAAGGTCGCGTCATCGGCTTCCCTTCGAAAAGGACAGGCTTTGCTATTTGGTTGAAAAAAGCGGAAAGTACGACGTCGACCTCCATCCTGGCAACGACGTGCCTCACTTTTAGCACCGACGGCAGCATCAGCGTCTACGCGCACAATCTGGACATCGATTTTTCCCACCTGTCCAAAACTTCGGCGCCAATTGGAAGTTCAAGATATTCTCCAGGGCGTGCTCGCTGAGTTTGCCCCCATTCAGTGTGTTGTATGTTCGACACCAACGCGATGCTCTTGACAGTTCTCAGACAGTGGGGCCGATACACATTTTTGATCGTGATCGAGTTGGTTTGTTCTTGTCTTGGCTTGGCTGTTATCGCAAACGTTTGAAGCTACCCAACTGGCCGATTCAGGAGATTTGTGATTTTCTCTTCCGTGCGGCTTGGCTGGCGTCTTCCCTGGTAGATTCTTACCATCGGCTTGTCGCAGTGATGGCTGGCATCGACCGGCTACTCCGTGTTCATAGTCTTCCTTCGGTTCGCGTTCCCCGCGTGCGTCTACCTTGTCAGTTGAAAGACCCTGTCAAATTGAATATTTTCAAATCGTGTGTGTCAGCGAGTCTTTCCAGTATCCGACTTCGACAGGCGAGGCGGTGGATACAACCTCGAATGAAGTACAGTTTCTCGAAGGTCCCGGTTTGGAAGACAAGGTATCTGCAAGCCGATTTTTCCGCACGTTCAAAGCTCGACCACTACCTGAACCACTGGATGCAGAGACTGTGTTCCTACCTCCTCGGCTCCTCCATGCGATTCCTGGGTCTTGGCGGCTGCCCCAATGGCCCATGGCAGACCATTTACTTGGCGAGTGTACCCAGGCTTTCTGCAACTGGGCATTGGGTCAGCGACTTCACCGCCGCGTCATCCGCAATGGTGCGGCCAACATCCGCCAGGCACGACAGAGCTTGGTGAGGCGAGTGCCAGCGGCTCCTCCAGAGTGGGCGGGCATGGAGCATATCATGTCGTTGTCCGTGAGCGCGTGTTCTCCATGCCCACCTTCTTCGTCCAGGTCGGTGGCAACCTGGGGCCCTTCCTCGGTGATCTTAGTTTGTGACGATAAAGACCAAGACAAAGTTTGGAGAGCAAATGGACCCGACCTGGCAAGATACTTATGTCAAGCAGTCCTTCGAGACCCTACGTGGCGGCCAAGGCCAGACCTCACCGACGAGGCCGTTCAGTCTTGGCTCTGGGCGCGCGCCCATTTGGGCCTTCCGCTTTGGCTTCGAGGATGGCGCCAGGTACCTTCGCCGACGTGCCAGACGAAGATTCCGACGGTGTTTCCTTTGATCAAGGCCAAGTGTTTCACTTCCAAGGGCGACCAGATTTGCTTCAAGCAGAACCGCTCCTGCATGCGGCGCGTGGTCGATTCCTCGAATGTTCCTGGCGGTTATGGCTACAAGATGCTTGGGCGTGCGGCGAGGGCTATGATCTCGATGTCTGGGGCCGGTTGTGAGGTGTTCGAGATGGGCCAGATTGCTGACAAGGTTCACTCTTTACGCTCATCGTTGTCTGCGGAAATTTCCCCGTCCTGTTTGCGGTGTGGGTGCCAACTCCACTGTCTTACCTTGGCCGTGCGCGACGCGGACCAGGCCTACGAACAGTGCTCATCTTCGGCTGTCTTGGAAGCGTGGCAGGTTGTGGCGGCCTCCTTCGAGGCCGTTGTGCCTTGTGGTGCTGTCCTCGTACGGCGTGCCGGACGAGTCCAGGTGGCGCCGTCCACTTCGTCAACGTGTCCACGAGGATGGTTCCGCATTACTATTGAGGACGTTGCCCGGGGAATGCTAGCCTCTGGGGGAGTTTGGTCAGTCTCGTGGGGGGCATTTTTGAATTGCAAGGCCTACCGATTGGGGGCGTCCTGTCAGGCGTTGGCCTCAGTATCTTGCTGTGCGCGCATGAGATTCAGGCAGAACGGGGTCCCGATCGATTTCTCTGGATGGGTTTTGTGCAACGTCCGACTGGAGGCGTCGACATCGGTCTGAAACGATTCGTTGACGATATCTTGAGTATAAGTCCGTCGTATTGTCAAGATTGCACATCAATGTATACCAAGGCTGTTTACGGCGTGAACTTTCACCCGCTTTCGAGCATCGCCCCCGTGATTGCGCAGTTCGGTGGCTTGACTTGGAATTGTCCGCGGTTGGGCCGAGCACCGTTTTCCTCCCTCAGAACTTGAACGGGGAATGGCTGTGCGACGAAAAGTCCAGGAAGGGTGTTCGAACGATTTTGGACTGGCCTGGCTGTTTACCTCGCTCCTTCGGTCTTCTCTATGGGGCCCGGGCTGGGAGGCTGGCTCGATCACGAATGCTTGGCATTGATCCGTCAGTTGCCGCTCTTTGGATTCTTGAGGCGGTTCTGGAGATGCATTATCTTTCATATCCGACTTCGTTGCTCAGAGCCCTTGTCTTCCGTCTCCCGCGGTGAATTGTGGTTCAGAAGGTGCGATTACATGTCCTTCGCTGGCTGAAGCTCCGCACGCAGGCGCCCGTGGGAGGCAAAGGTTACTCGAGAGGTGAGCGCCGGCATCCCTCTGAGCGTCGCGATGGCCGCCGTGATGATCATCGTGGCAGGGACTATTCTGGTGGTGGCCGTTGCGGCCAGTGGGCCCCCGGGCCGCACGATGGGGGCCGGGGCCGCCGCGGCCCTCGCAAGCCTCAGTGGGTCGAGCGCCTCGAGGAGGAAGACTCGAGGGAGCAGTACGTTGAGAACCTGCGACGCCAGTTGGCGCGCGCGGACCCGGAGTTTGCCGACATGCAGCGGGAGAAGGCGTTCAAGGACCGCGAGAAGGAGCACAGGGCGACGGGCCAGCTCCTGGCCGAGGCGATGAAGTCCACGTTCGAGGACGTGCTCAAGGACATGCGGGGCATGGCAGAGCCGCCACGTGGACGTGAGTTTCCTCCTGCGCCGCCGGATGTTCGTGATCGCGGTGGTCGTGGAGGTCAGGGTTCACGCGATGGACCTGATGGGGGCCGCGACTCTCGAAACGGTGCTGGCTCGACGACGCTGTCTCGCTCTGAGTTTGGCTGGTTGCGTTCACTGGTTGGCAGCGACGCGGAGATCAAGGATTCCGACTCCACCGAGACGTTGGTGAAGGGCATACAGAAAGCCATGAAGAAGAAACTCTTCGTGGGCAACATCAGCAAAATGTACAAGAGCGCGGAGGTTGACATCCCGAAGGGCCCGAAGACGAAGGCTGAGGGCGTTCTGGCGATCATCAGGGGCCAGGGCATATGACTAGATTTTGGGATGGCTTCGGCTACGGAGAACTCTGCGTGGTTCTGGGCGTGCTCATTTTGGCAATTTGTGGTTTTAATTATCAAGTGCTGGATTGCCTTGGGATGTATTTCAATGCTTGGCTTCACGTTGGTGTACATCGTGAATGTGGGGCTGTCATTCACATTACCGTTGCCGACGCAGCTAGACTCCAGGTGCGAAGATGTCTTGAAAGCATGGACCACGCTGCGGGTCACGCACGAGCAAGAAGCTCGTCATATTCAAAGGCTAGCCGGCGACATGGGGTTGTCGTTCACCTTTTACGACGATTCGGAACGCCAGTTCATCGCCAGCTCGATTAGGTCGATGGGAACGGCAGTTGGATCAATATTGCTCTCCTGGGGGCTTGGAGGAATCCGGTGAGCAGAGTCCGAGTGATGCGCGCACGCAGGCGCGGTGAATGGGACTCTCCTCTGTCCTCCCGCCCGTCTCCTCCTCCTTCTCCTCGTCGCCCCGGTCATCCTGGAGAGGCGCAGTAAAGAGACTGCGCATCAAATTCTGGTTCCCGAGACCTTTGGATTGCACCCAGTAGGGGGACTGCGCATCAAATCTTGGTTCCCGAGGCCTCTGGATCGCACTCTGAAGCGTTTGGCTCCTGCAGGGGGGCTCCTCGGGTCACCAGCGCTCATAGCCGAGGAGCTGGCTGCCTAGCCCTGCGCCGTGCGATGGTAAAAGGCACACCGCCATCGGACATTTTCTCTCTCTATCTCTCTCTCTCTCTCTCTCTCTCTCTCTCTCTCTCTCTTTCTCTCTCCCTATCCTCTGGCTCAGCACGACGCTGCCTACTTCCTCCTCCACGTGCTGCTGCGGTCCTCCTCCCCCTCCTTCTCCCCGGCTCTCTAGGTCTCCTAGATGGGGTCGGAGTAGATGGGGTCGGCGGATCGC